GACATAAGGGCATTTTGAGCATTTGGGTTACTTACAAACTGTCTGTTATATTCGTATACATCACACACTCTGATAATGAACACATTGTATAATTAACAATATAATAATTTTCCAAAGTATTTTGTTAATAAGAAAATAAAAATAATTATTCTATAATAATTGGCATTATTTATTAAATTAATTAAAACAATTGTTTGTTTCCAATCGGGAATATTTATACATGTTTAATTATTGATTTCTATTCAATATATTGTAATATTATTAATGAAACTAATTATTATTTTAATTGTAAGCTATATATTTATTTCTTAAAGTGTTATACACTCTGTATAGGTATAAAATAAAAATCTACTCCAATGTTATAATATTTACTTATTCAATACTAACTTTTGCTTTAATTTACTGGTTAAGTTTTTGTGATAAATTAAATATAAAAGTTTTGAATAAAAAATGTTTTATAATTTGTCTTATGTTTAAAAAATTACTTTTAAAATACGATTAAAACAAGTGAAAACCCATAAATTTATTGTTCAGTAAATCAAAAATTATTAAATCGAGTGAATATAAAAAGCAAACTTGATTATTTCTATTTCCATTAATTTTATTAACTATACGAAAAATGCCAAACAAATTCATTTTCATTACTATTATTACAGTTAAGCCAATATTTGTATGAATAGTAAAAACCAAAGAAATAACAATCAATTAAACAAAAGTTTTGTGTGAAATAAATGCAGATTTGATTAATGCAATTGTTTTAATGCAATCGCGAAATACAATCTCTTAATTGAATACTTGAAGCATATTCTGAGACATAAATAGAGAAATAAAAGACAAATAAAATCGTGTAAACCATTGAAACCAAATGTTTTTCGTGTTAATTCACGTTTAATTTGCTTAATATATCATTTGATTAATGAAAATATAAATAAACATAAAAGTGATTTGAAATGAAAACAAAGGGCAGAATTACAAACACACAGAATATTCCTGATTATTATCATCGATGGAGACAATGAGATGGAAATAATACACTCGGTTTGTACTCTAGACCAAAAACTACCTTTATACACTATCTTTTACTGTAATTTTTATATTCAATTTGTAAACCAGTAATTTTAATGTGCGTAACGTACGATTAGTATTAACAAATCGCGACTGTCCCTACCATACTTCCCCTACCATACAGTTCCCTACCATATATTGTTGCCCATACTGTCCTCAATGACTTGTGAGGCGTCTCCTGCAGACGATATGAATTGCAAATATCTTATAATATAATAAATTAATGCCTTCAATGAATGGTATTATGGTATGTATTGTCAAACAATTAGTCGCCACCACCGCTACTCGGCATCACTTTTATGTATATAATGCTAATCAATGGTCAAACCAAACAACCGATAGAAAAATTTGTAATTAATTTTTAAGTCAGAATTTAAACTAGAATTTTATTTCTATGCAAATCCAATGCATTTATAGTAACAGCTTAAAAGAGGTTATTTACAAATTATCAGATTTTTATTAGGATATTCACTGAATTTTTATTGAAAACGTATCGCAAAGTTTACATAAGTTTTCTTTAACTGTGTTTAACAGTATTTATATAGCGAATAAAGGCAAACGATTTACAAAAGTTTTGTTCAGGAATTTCTCGTCTCGTGTTTGAATGTGTGAGAAATGTGTGAAAAATAGCAGTCATTAAACATATATAACATGCGTTTACGCCATACATGCAGTCGTATATTGAATTTATGCGAAACAAAAAATGTTATGTCTTTTAAATTGTAGGTATGATTGATAACGATTTGTCTTTAAGTCTCCCTTAAGTAATATTATATAAATTTTTTTCTGTTTCTAAAGTTATATTATTTGTCTGATTTACTTTTCATGCGAATATGGAGAGAGAGAGAGAGAGAGAGAGAGAGAGAGACTGAAAAGGGAGAGCAATCTGTCATTTATTCTCACATGAGATGACAGCTAAGTTTTGTGTTGAAAATTATTTTGAAGTTAAATGCAAAATGAGAGGAAAATTTAATTTCATTCAAAAAGACGTATTTATTTATGAGGTTTACATAGATTTTCTACTGAAATGAATACTCAATAAGAATGGGCACATAAATTACATTTTTGCTTTAACTCAAAGGAATGGCTATTAAGTTATTTTCATAGTTTTCTATCTCAAGAATTTTTTCCTAACACTAAACCATAATATTCTTAAATGTAGTGAAAAATTCTGTGCATTTATTTACAGCAAAGGCTGTGAATTCACAAAAATCAGAGGAAAACACACGGCTTGTGTATTAGAGGTCTTAAAATACGTGTTATAAGACACGGAAAGATATGGAAAAACATACGTTGTTTTTATAAACGTAATTGAAAATACTCGTGTATCAGTATACATGTATATGATATCACTGGTATTTCACTGCTAAGTCAGCATTAATTAAAGCTGTTTGTTAAGTGCTCTTTATTCTCAATGTTGTGAAACTTTGCGTTTGTTATAAATACAAACTTTTAAATATATATCACACGTGAGATTTAGATTTCCTATGAATTAGTGAATGGGTTTTGTGTTTAATATTTGACTAAAGGATTGCGAGAGAGAGAGAGAGAGAGAGAGAGAGACTCGTCGAGTGATTACATAAATACAGAATTAGACTGTTATTTGCCATTTGTTTGCTACACGATATGACTGCCCTGTTATTGATGACTGTGTGCACCACACATACCATACCACTCGAAATGCCTACTTTTCATATATAATTTACTGGATATTATATCTAATATTCTGCATTTTCGTGTCATTTATTGCATTCATTTAATAAACTAAATGATAATAATTTTAATTTTCATTCAATTTTGATGACCATTTGTCTCTATGTTTTTGTCGGTCTATGTATGCGACAAAACAGTCATTAGTTTTTCGTGTTTATTATGATTATTGTTAACATTCTTTAAATACATAGTATTTTTGTGTAGCGCTTATTATTTGTATTATTTATTTATGTTACAAAAACATTTAAATAAAATGCTTATCACTAATGCTCGGCAAACTTGCGATGAGACGAAGGGCAGGGATTTTATGACAAATAAATTAAATTTAGAAATTACTTCACAGAATATTCTTAAGCCAATAATGCTTTTAAGGAATATTAATAATACACACCATATATACCGTTACATATAAGCTCTAAGCACACGGTTTAGAAATATTTTCAATCTTAAAAATAAAAATTAGTTACGAGTCGCAGACTTCTCGTATGCAATAAATAGGAAAATATTAGTTTGAGGTTTAGATGATGTCTATAAGCCTCGGCCTCCCGTAACCATACGACTGGGATATAGACATAGCGTTGAAAGCGGCGCTCATCTCTCATAAGCATTTTCATTACAAACAGAGTTTATATCGTAAATTGGATTTGAATTTTAAATCATTTTAATAGTGCGTCAGTAATCTCTTTAGTCATTTAAAGTTTAAAATTATTTTTAATATTATGTCTGTACCATTGCGTTACAAAACACTCGCTCGGATTTAAATTAAAATTTGTGTTTCAATTTAATTATTTATGAATTCGTGGAATTAATTTAAATTAATTTCATTTCGTGTATTAAATACATAGGGTTTGCAAAATTTAAATTATATTTCACTCAAAAATACCACTTTGAATATCCCTTTCACTAAATCCTTGGATAATTAATTCATACGTTACTGAAATAATAAGAATATAAGTTAATTTTTAAAATAATTTTTTATACAGTGTAAATTTAAATATATCTGCATGGCATTTGACATTAACCGTACGATTATTATAAGTTTTAACACAATTACATAAGATATACAACAGATTGAGTCTTACGTGTAATTACTTTATACTCTCTCCCATTCAATGACAGCTTAATGTCATCTTAATTATGAATCATAAGAGATAAGGCAAACATCACGGCAGCCCTTCCCCATACCCTTCCCTTCTATGCACTTCAATACACTTTTCGTACAGAATTTTCCGCTCATTTCGTAATTCATTTCTCCCTTTTGTCTCAATTAAGTGACAAATTTTCATTCAAACTAATTGTTAAGTAATGAAATAATGAGACAAAAACAATTTAATTCACTAAATACTCGTATAATTCTATTCAATTGGAAAACAACTTTTATGTAACATAACAAAAATATAAAGATATTAATAATCATAATAATAATACACAAAAAGGATACAAATTAAACATAATATAATACAATTAGTTTTTATATTGCTTGCGATAATAAATATATATATTTAGTCTCAAAATAGAAACAATAATTTTATATTAACTGTTAAATGACTTCATATGCGAAGGAAATTCACAAATGAGACGACTTTTCCACAAACCATTACATAATAATAACCATACGTTTAGTAATATTTGAAATAATAATTTTTCGGTGAGATTTCATTATCTAAAAGAAAAATATTATAAAAAATCATGAATTTTGTGATTGAAATACGGATACGAGTAATGTTTTAGTGATGTGTAATAAACAGAGCCATGAGTTGGAGTAAAACTTTTATTTAATTATTTTTGTCATATATTCAGCACTAAAATTACTGTCAGATATGATATGAAAAGCTCTAAAATTGGTTATATTTATATGAAAATACTTCTGCATTTAAAAATAGGATATCATAGTAGCTCCGGATTTGTATTAATATATTAAAAGCAAAAATTATCATTAATTATGATATTTCTCCAAAAATTTGCGTTCATTTTTCAGTACAAATCCCAAACACAAATTCATTTATCATTTAAAATTTTTGATTAATTTACTAGATAAGGCATTTAAATTTCATCTCATATTTGTAATTTATATAAAATATGTTTTGTTACCGAATACTTATGACATATTTTATTTGTTTTGACTGAATGGAAAACAATCATCTTTTGTTATCAAATTTACCGTTTTATATAGTGTATTATTAATATATAATCTTTTTCTAGGTCCAAATCACAAGATTGCTCTAACGAATGTTTTTAAAGAGAGCACAGGTATTACGAATGGTAGCCGTGGAAATACATGCAACTCCTTTGACATCCTCGACAGACCTCCATTGGCTGCGATCATTGCTGTCCTGACTGGCCATATATATGGCTGCGGCCGCCACCACAGAGGGACCACTGGACACATGCAGCTTATAGGAGGCGTTGGCGATGTGAAAGGCCTGTCGCTCGACCGCTCTCTCCAAACCGAGTCTATAACAGAATCGGGATATGAGTTGATCCGGAGTTATGGGGTCCGCGTCTATGCGCAGAGCTTCCGCCACTTTCTGAGCGTATCTCCCGATCTGTTTGACCGACACTTTGTTAATAAAAGCCATTTCCTTGAGAGTGTGCGGCATTTCCACCTGTTTGGCCGCGATGTACACAAATGGCTTATGAATACTGTATAAAATAAACAAAACTGACTTACCTTTTGTTAGTAGAAAACAATAGTTTAAATGGCAAAATATATCACATAATAATTATATATTAGAAAAAGATCCAGGTTTAGTGTTAATAGCTCTAACGAATGTTTTTAAAGAGAGCACAGGTATTACGAATGGTAGCCGTGGAAATACATGCGACTCCTTTGACATCCTCGACAGACCTCCATTGGCTGCGATCATTGCTGTCCTGACTGGCCATATATATGGCTGCGGCCGCCACCACAGACGGACCACTCGACACATGCAGCTTATAGGAGGCGTTTGCGATGTGAAAGGCCTGTCGCTCGACCGCTCTCTCCAAACCGAGTCTATAACAGAATCGGGATATGAGTTGATCCGGAGTGATGGGGTCCGCGTCTATGCGCAGAGCTTCCGCCACTTTCTGAGCGTATCTCCCGATCTGTTTGACCGACACTTTGTTAATAAAAGCCATTTCCTTGAGAGTGTGCGGCATTTCCACCTGTTTGGCCGCGATGTACACACAAGCTATGGCTATGGCTTTGATGGGACGGCCCGTCATTTTCATATTCTTTAAATACTTCCTTAACATGTCGTCAGCCTTAGGGCCGCATTCAGCCGGCAAATTCATTTTCAACTGAATCCTAGCGATCCTTTGGGACCATTTGTCCAGAGCTTCTGATTTCCTTTCGGACTCCTTGTCATCACTTTTAGACCCTTTGATGGTTTGAGGCTTAGTTTTGGGATGTGTTTTGGGATCTGGTTTGCGAGATATCTTCACTCGAATCGTATTATTAGAGCCCATTTTGAAAGCTTTTCGGACGACAAGTGTTTTATATTCAGTGATTATTTCACTTTCGATGAAAATGTCTTTCGTATGGAACCGACCCTTCAGTCCAATATTTATTCTTATCGACGATTCTTTGCATTCACTTATTCTCACAGAACTTCGCTTTCGGTAAATCCAATCGCCGGTGCATTCAATCGTAAACTTTAAACCATACTTATATTTACTGACAATTTTTAAATCACTTTTAAGGTNTCGACGATTCTTTGCATTCACTTATTCTCACAGAACTTCGCTTTCGGTAAATCCAATCGCCGGTGCATTCAATCGTAAACTTTAAACCATACTTATATTTACTGACAATTTTTAAATCACTTTTAAGGTTATAATTCATTTATAGACTATTAAAAAAATATAAATAATTGTATAAACAAAAAACTTTTTCACTTCAAATATGGACAATAATTCGTACACTATTTGAAGTTGTGGTCAAATGAGAAAAATATTTGAAATCTGTGTGTCTTATATGCAGTGCTCATATTTTTGTGGTAGTAATCCATTTTTCAAGTTCATAGTTCCAATCATATTTAGATCATTTTAATTCTAACGGTCATTTTCAGCTTGGAAGTTTAACAGAAAGATTAGATTACATTTCACAACTGTTAAGTATCAAGGTAAAATGAAAAATCTATTAAAGTATAAATATTTGCCAATAGTTAATTCCTATACATTTGTATGAATCTAGATGTGAAAAAATTCCACACATTCTGCGATAATAAACTATATTGTAATCAGAGGTGTAGTGTATGTAAATGAACTGAACTATACGTTTATTTTTATCTACCTCTCATACAATGCAAACATACAAAAGAGTAGTCATTACATGAGTGAAAAATTTATCTAATTATTTGTTGTAATTGAATGTTTAAAGCAATTAGTAAGGAAACGAGGGCTAATCAATATGACAGGAATTGTAGAATTGCTATAATAATCATCTGAATTGCTATAAATTGTAAGATCACTCCCTGGGAAAGGAGTGTTTTTTGGGGGCTAGTATTCCCTATTACTAAATGGATTTAAATATGAAAGGAGTGTTTGGTTTAACCCAATATTGTTTGTCATTTTGATTACAATGCATTACATACAGAATGCACTTTAAATAAAATATCTTTTAAATAAAAGCAAATATTTTAATTATTATTAGAAATTTTAGTTTGCAATCATTTGCCATAAAATTCTAGTCAAAACATACATATAACTCAAAAGTTATTGTATAATATGAGGAAATTTTTGAATACAAAAGAGGCAAATATTTTAATTAATTATTTATAAGTGAATGAATATTTTATAAATAGGAGTAATAATAAAAACGGGGAACAATTTTTTTAACTCATGCATTACTTTTAACACTAATTTCATTATTATTTGTTTTGTTATAATTATAGTAATAATAATAAAGTTTTTGCATAATATTAAAGACATAAAGAGTATAGTATTTTCGCATTCATTAAAACCGGAGTAAAATAAAAAAATAAAATAATTTATTTAAAGATTAAAAATAAAGTAGTTTTTAAAGTAAATTGGATTTTATTTGTAAAAATCATATACTCTTTCTGGTATACTGTAGTTTTAATGATCATTTTTCGAGTCATAAAAAATTATATTTCTTTATCTATAGTTATGAATGATATCACAAAATGAATGAAAATAATTGTGAAATAATTATAATGAATAATGAAAAGACTAAATGAAATTAGAAAATATAAAATAAGAATATTTTTTCTATTAAGGGCAATGTTTTATTGACTCTCTCTCTCTCTCTCTCTCTCTCTCTACTGTTTCACACAAAAAATTGTTAACAAATGAGTCGATTATGTAATGAAAAGTGAGAGAAAACAAGAGCAGAAAAGTGGATGAATGTGTCCAAAAGTTTGTGAATAATTTGCATAAAAGTGAGTCTAATTAAAGACACACCCGATTTGTGGCATTTATTCACTGATAATAATAATATCACAACTCGTAGTCATAGCCTCTCAAGACTTTCAGACGTTAATTAGAAAATTCATACAAATTAAATAAAAATCCATATTTAATCTCAATTTTTTCATTTATTATATATAAAACTAATCATAAATTACCGGTAAATACATTACAATTTAAAACAATATATTTATAATTAATTAATTTTCATAACATAAAATTCAAATTTAATAGTAATAAATAAATAATTGAATGAATGATTAAAATGCCTAACACTTAGAAAAGGGACGTAATGTTGGCGTATGTGTGATGGGTGTTGGAGTTGGATGGGGGAGCAAAGGTGGGCGCCATATGAGTGGCGTTGGGAGTGATGGCTGGCATTTGAGGGGTCGACACGGATCGACTGTTTGGAGTGATTTGGGGGTCAAATGAATTGGTGTTTGTGTTGTGAGTGGCGGCCGGCGGGAGGAAAGTGTTGAACGCGTTGTGTGGCGTCGATATGCGGGCACTCGAGTGATGGGAATGGTATAGATTCTGATGACCAGACGTCTGGTGATTCTGGTATCCGGTGCTCACGTCCATCAACGAGTGACCCAATGCGGGGCCCACAGGGGGTGGGGGCGGGAACTTCATGGTGGACGTCGGGGTTATGTTGTCACTGGTGTTGGCGTTAATATCGGGGAAAATATTACTCAAATGAAAGTTCGTTGCGTTGGACGAGTGGTTTGACGAGTGATTGGATGGCGTGAGAGTCGACCAAAACTGGGACGAGGAGGCGGTGGTGGTGGGCGCCGGCGGGGGCGCCGTTCGGTTCGAGTTATGCAACGAATTGACACTAAAATTGGCCGAATTTGAGGCGGCATTCGAGCCGTGGTGTGAGTTCTGGGACTGCGGTCTGAAGAGTGTGTACGAGGAGGAGGTGTCGGCGTTGGACGTCGTGTTCTTGGGCTGAGTGTTGGACGAGTGACTCGACGGCACACTCACGGCGACCGGCTTTTGTCGCACCGAACCGTGCGGTTGAGTGTTGGCCACGAAATTGGTGTAACGGTTGTTGTTCTGAGTCATTGGTGTCGACAAAGACATCAATTCATTCATTGAGAAGTAGTTGTCATTCGTATGCCGTAGCGATTGGTTGGATGTGTTGGTGGTGTCGGCGCTGGTGTTATGTTTACTACTGTTTTGTTTCTTGGACTTGGAATTAGTGGTCGTATTGTTTGAACTGATTTTCGATGCTTTCGATGGATTCAGACTTTGAGACATATTTGCAGAAGTGGTCCACGAATTGGACTGACTTTTACTATTACTTGCGTTGGAATTGCTGTGAATTGTGTTTATATTGAAATTAGAGCCAGTGATCGGCGGTAACGGGTTATTGGCACCGGTATTGCCGTGAATCGTCGAGTTTATGTTGAAATTAGAGCCCGAAAGCGATGGCAACGGGTTATTAGCGCCGGTATTACTATGAATCGTGGGGTTTATATTGAAGTTAGAGCTCGTAATCGGTGTCAACGGGTTATTGGCGCCGGTATTGCCATGAATTGTAGAGTTTATATTGAAATTAGTACCCGAAAGCGGTGGCAATGGGTTATTAGCGCCGGTATTGCTATGGATAGTGGAGTTTATATTGAAATTAGATCCGGTAATCGGTGGCAACGGGTTATTGGCACCGGTATTGACGAAGGGGGCGTTGAAGTCGGGCCACGTGTTGGCAAACATGGATCTGTGGGCACCGCTGAAGGGGGCGGTGGCGTCGAAGGGCGAGGCGGCGCTCGGCAGTAGCGGTGGGAATGGTGTGCCAGAAGTGGTCGGAAAGTATGTGGTGTTGGAGTCGTTGGAGAAGAAACAGCCGGCGTTTGCGTTGTTCTGTTGGCCCACCGATGAGTTGCTGTGATTTGTTGGCTCCAAATAGTTGGTGAATCGGATGTCATTACTTCGACCGCTTCTCTGGTAATGGTGTTCACCACTCGTATTGACATTCGCATCACTGGGAGTCGAGTATAGACTTGAATTGTTGGCATAATTGTCAACATTTGAATGCAAGAAAGCATTGGCCGACGGATTGAATATATTTGTGTTTGTGTTGGCATTTGTCGAGCGCTTGTTTTGCTGGACATTTGAATTGTTGTTGTTATTAGAGTATAGGATAGGACTGTGTTGTGGTGGCTGTTGCTGTTGTGCCTGTTGTTGGGGTTGTGTTTGATTTTGTGGCTGATTTAGTCCAATATTAGGTGCCAAATGACTTATACTGGTCAGATTATTATTGCCACTATTATTATTATTATTACTATTACTGTTAGTAGCATTATTATTATTCATGTTGTTATTATTACTACTATTATTAATAGTATTACTATTACTATTAGTGGGATATTTAACAGGACTGTGTTGTTGTTGCTGTGGCTGTTGGTGTTGATTGACACCAATATTTAGTGCCGAATGACTGATGAAATTATTATTACCAGTGTTATTATTACTACTATTACTGGTAGTATTATTAACACTATTACTAATACTAGTATTGTTATTAGTATTATTATTAGGATATTTGACAGGAGTTTGTGGTGGTTGTTGTGGTTGATTAATACCAATATTAATTGCCGAGTGACTAATCAGATTATTATTATCAGTACCGGTATTATTATTATTACTACTAATACTATTATTTATATTATTATCATGATTAGTATTCGTATTATTATTAATATTATTATTATTATTACTGTTATTATTAGCGGTAATGTTATTAGGAGTAACAGCACTGGTAGTATTCCCATTGATTTGAGAATTGGTGTTACTATTGGTGAGAGGATTCACAGCATTTGAGTTGACATTACTGTTTAAATTTCTATTGGTATCGGTAGTAAGGATTGGAGTCTTAGGGCTAGTGATAGTCACTATTGATTCCGTGGTGGTTGTGGTGGCCGTTGAAATAGTGGTCGGAATGTCCGGCGAGTCACTAGAGTCGTGTGATTGAGGAGTGGGTGTGCTCTCAGAGATGGTAATCGTCTCTATAGTTGTGGTCAACGCTTTAGTCACAG